CTATGATGATATAAAGCAAAACAACTCGAGATGCAAAATCCAGGCTGCAGGTTCCAGACTTGTGATCTTTCCAGTGATGATAAAATCCATGCTTGTTTAGTTCTTTCTATGGATCAGCGACTGTCTTAAGGGCTTCCTGTGTATTAACTCAGTTTAATCCTCATAATAATCCTATGAGGTAGGTACTCATTATTTTACTTCTTTTCTATGAAGAAATAGAGGTGTGGATGGGGAGGTGAAGATAACCCATTCAGGAATGATAGTTCATGAACCCAGGCGGCCCCCTTGGTATCTTGTCTGTTCAACCTTCTGCTCAGAGATGCACCCCTAGCCTCCTGGGGTGTGACTTACAAGGGACCCTGCGTTTTCATTTTGCATCCAGCCTTGCAGTTAGGCAGCCAACCTTGGGCGTAGCAGTTAAGAAGCAGGACTCTGCACTTGGCTCAGGGCCCTTGCCTGGCCTGCTCAGCTGGGGCCTCTGAGCAATTCACAGCTACGCCCTGAGCCTTCCTGTAGTCGCGGTCAGGTGACCAGTGATAGGCTGCAGCACTGAGAACAGTTTCACTGGGGAGGGGAGACGCCAGCCTGCCCTGGTCCTTGGTTGGTACCTGGTGGGTACCTGAAGCTGGGCGCTGAGCACCTGCCCTGAGCATCCCATAGGGATGCGGGGAGCACGTGGAAGCCTCGATCCTATTACACTTGGGTGTTCTGGGGTTGCGTTCTGAGCCAACTTGATGAAACCCAGCCTGAGTGGAGCCTGATCTTTTTAACCTTGGCGTATAAGAATTGAGGTTGTACGTCAAGCAGCTTCTCCGTGATGACTGGCTTAGTCCTGCTGGAGGGCCAACAGCAATAAATACGCCACCCATTTGCTCTCTGAATGTTCTTATTTGCAGCACACCATGCAGAAAAAATATTAACAGAAAACAAACTCCTCACTCCTAACAGGCTGATGAGGGCCTCTTTAGAGTGGCGTGTTTGCTTGCATCTCCTCTCTCCTTTTTGTTCTTTCTAAAGAAGCTATCACTGGAGTTAAGCAACCTCTGGTAACATCTCCTGGGGCACTGAGCTAAGAGAGGTGGATGGCTTGGGAGAAGAGGGGCCCTCAAGGGGGACAATGGAGTGAAGAATCGCCCTAGGGAGCCAGAGGCAGAGGAATGGAGGAGGCTTGTCAGCTGAACGAGAAGAGCCTGGGACCCAGAGAATTGACTTCAATTCACGAACGGGGATCCGGGGGTCCTGGGTACCAGGAAAGCCACTCCTACTTTCTGGGGCTCAACTTCCACATCTGTAAAATGGGTTGATTCAATGACCTCTTCCAGCTCCAACACTCTGTATATGCCAACCTATTCTGTATCCTTTCTGATCTTCTGAGTCCTGATCTAGCAAGGATCTGAGGGCACATGTACTGTTCTGTAATTCCAGCATTGCCAAGATCCTTGAGACTCCAGAATTCAGTTGTTCTGTTGTTCCCCGACTTGAAGACTCCAGGCACACAGAAAGAGGAAATGGTAATAAGAGTAACGTGAGTTAACATCACCCATGTAGACAATGCTGGCTTCATGGGCACATGACTTGTGCTGTCACAGAGGACCTTGAGCTCCATTTAATGCTCAACTGTCACCGACGTGAAATTCACAAATTTTGAACAAGGGTCCCTGCATTTTCATTTTGCACTGGGCCCCACAAAGGATGCAGCCAATCTCTTGGGTGTAGCATTTCAGAGAAAAGACTCTAGAGGCAAGAGGACTTTGTTCTGATCCTGACTCGGCCCCTTCCCAAGTGACGGCCCCTCTGTTATTTCACCGTGTCCGTGAGTCAGGAGTCCCGACGTGGCTTAGTTGAGTCCTCAACTGAGGGTCTCAGAAAGCTGCCATCAAAGTGTCACTCTTTGGCTGTGGTCTCACTGAGGGTCAGCTGGGAGAGGTCTGCCTCCAAGATCACTCAGGCTGTTGGTAGAATTCATTTCTTTCTGCTTGTGGGATGGAGGGCTTCAGCATTTCGTGTCAGTCAGAGACCACCTTCAGCTCCTAGACACCATCCACAGTCCCATGCCGTGCGGGCCTCCCAACACAGGGAGCCTACACCATGGCAGCTTGCTTTTCTGAAGCCAGTTTACAAGCTGGAGATTACAGCAAGATGGGCCTTACAGTCTTCTGTAGGTAACTATATACATTGTGTCAACTTTGCTGTATTTTATGGGTTAGAAGCAAGTTACCAATCCCACTCACACTCCAGGAGAGGGTACTGTGCAGAAGAAAAATATTAAAAGCTACGGATCTTGGGGTGGGGGCACCCTAGAGGCGGTTGCCACAGTGGTTTATTCATTCATTCATTCATTCAACTAGCTCTTATTGTTGGCTTGCTCCGGGAATTGGTGATGGACAGGGAGGCCTGGTATGCTGCAGTCCATGGGGTCACCAAGAGTCAGACATGACTGAGCGACTGAACTGAACTGAACTCTCTGCCAGGCCTGGAGGCAAACACACTGAGCAAGACGGATGAAGGCCCAGACCTTGGAAAAGTAAGGAGAGAGGGAAGGATGTGCTAGCGGGTGACCTAGGGGGTGGGGGTGGGGGAGGGCAGACCCAGCCCTAACCCTGCTGCCAGTCTTCTGACTGACCCTGGCCCACCTGGGCCTCCCTGGGCCCATCTGTCCAGCGGAATCATGCCACAGAGCCCTCCCTGACCCAGAGGCAAGACGAGCTCCGTCTTCACTGTGAGGATGTATTGAGCGAGTGTGTCGCCGTGCCCGCGAGTGTGTCGCGTCACACATGCGTGGTGGTACCAACTCACCCTCGCCACGGCCAGCCCCCAGGAACTGTGAATCTGCTTCCAGCTGCAATCTCCTTCTGTCACCCACGAGAATACATCTGCAAATAGGCTCTGGAAAGAGTCTAAGCAGTGACTTTGGGGTGCCCTGGGTGTGGAAAGAAGAGGCGGGCAGAGAAGGGAGGTGCGTGAGTGGAGATGCACTCTGGGGCCCGACTCCAGCTCTTCGAGACATTGATCTGGGACGCAAACGTCTCCACGTGCTGATGCGTTCATACCCGTACAAGGTCCCACGTGCAAGAGGGCCTGATGCGCGGTTTAAGCCTCCATTGTTGCCATCTTGCTGTTTTTGATAATTTTTGAGCCTGGAGCCCTGCATTTCATTTTGCACTGAGTTTGCCCAAACTTTGTAGTCAGTCCAGTGGCTGTGAGACCTTGGACAAGCCATTTAAGCCTCTGTGATTAATCCCTGCTTTGGAAAGAGAGATAACCAGATCATCCTAAACTCAAAGATCACTGCAACAATGATAACCTCACGACAGAAATAATGACTCTAAGCTGCATAAACAGAACCGGGGCTTGTCCCTGGCTCTGGGCTAAGTGCTTGAGTGCTTGACTGATTTCACCTCCTGCCCTGGTTATCCCACCACGAAGTAACTATTGTCACGTCCATTTTACAGATGAGGAAACTGAGGCTCAGAGTGGCAGAGTCGTCAGCGGAAGTCTGGAGTGGAGCCGTGAATGCAACACGGTTAGAGCCGCCTCTGATCCCGGCTCGGCGGCTGCTACTGCTCTGAGGATCTGCAGAGCGCAGTAGGTGCGCCCCCCACCCCCCACCCCCTCGACCCCGCACCGCTTCCTTCCTGGACACAGCTGTCTACAAGTAATGTTTTCCCTACCCAGCTGTCTCCCCTCTTTCCTTTCTGAACCTGGAGCATGAACAATATTTTCAACAAGCCGTCGGCAGAACAAACTGTCTCTAAGGAGGAGGAAGGCTTTGTTTCTCTCCATCCCCTTCCCCAGCACTGCCCCCCACCTCCAGCCTCCCCAGCAGACTCCAGCCAAGACCTGAACGATTTCAGCTGCTTTGGCAAGAGACACAGTGAGATCAGGGTCTGCTCTGGGTATAGAGTTAGGGCCTGGGGGAAGTGGGGGCGGGGCCTGCGGCGGTGGGGGCGGGGCTTGTGGGAACGGCGCCTCCTCCTTGGAGACTCCAGCAAGAACACCTGGGGCAGGTGGGTGTGGCGGGGTGTGGCCACGCGGGGGCCCTCTTTTACGGTGCGTGAGATGCGGAGGGGCTGGAAGTCGCCCCTGTCCAGCTCACCAGCTGAAAGGCCTGGAGTGAGAAGACCCGCCCCCAAGTCCAGCCTCAGCCAATCAGTTGGCTGGGTGACCTCGCTGCAAGGCCCTCCCCTCTTTGGGCCTCAGTTTCCTCTTTAGAAAACAGCGAGTGGGCGTATCTTTCTTCTCCAGCAGGCTGTTAATATGAAAACCGAAGAGGAAAATGGAGAAACCACGCTATCGGTAAATCAATACCTTCCCCTCGCTGCCTTCTGCCCGCTGGCCTTGGCCTGGGGCCCTGCCCTGTCCTCAGCCTGGGCCGCTGTCTACGAAGTTGAGGTGATTGAATTTCCAAGGCTGAGAAGTGACCTGCTGGAAGCTCCATCACCCTGGACTGTAAGCTCACGAAGGCGGGCACCAGGCCTGGCCTGGCTCCCTGATGGCTTCTAGCGGGGAACCTCGTGTAGGGGTGGTACTCAATGAATATTTGAGAAATAAACGACTCAGAGACCCTCTAGGTTGGACCATGAGAACACTGGCCAAGAGGGAACGAGCCTGGGAATCAAGGAAGGTGGTTTTGAAACCTGACTCTGCCTCGGGTCTCACTCTTTGGGTTGGAGCCGTCCACGCCCCGCTCTGGGCCTCAATGTGCTCACCTGTGGAATGGGGGCCCTGGAGTGGCTGAACTTGAAACCCTCGCCAGCTCTGCCAGGCCTGAGGTTGCTGTCATCAGCCAGAGAAACTGGCCTTGGAAGGGGACGCTGGACAGCCCCTTTCTGTCTGTCCCAGGAGAGGTTATCAAGGCGTTCTCCATTTTCATTTGTGAAATTGCGAGGGACGTCTGGGCATGCAGGGAATATGCATTGTCCCTGGAGCCTGACCTCCGGCCTCTAATCGATCAGGATGTATTTTCAATGCACATTTCCTGGTGGAGGAGCTCAGAGCACGCTGGTCCCAGCCCCCCAGCCGCTCCGTCCAGAGATCTGGGAACGCGCACTCCACCTCCCTGAACCAGGCCTGGAGTGGCCCATGCATGTTGGTCCAGATGGTCAGCAGTACCTCAGAAGAGAGTCTGGGGGCTCTGGAAGGACAGTCGCCAGGGCTCTGGGCTCTGGCTTGTGGACCCCACCTTGTCCTGTCATCTCCCAGGCTATGGGCCTCTGTCCCTACACTCCCTTACAAGGCTGGATCCACCACTGATCACGAGGCCGGGCTGTCCTCCGCCCTACATCGCTTGCTAGAGAAGTCCTACCACTACTATTAATGATAATAACTAACTTGGACTGGGGGCTTCTCAGGTGGCGCTGAGAACAGGTAAAGAACAGGCTTCCCAGTACAGGAGATGTAAGAGGCGGATTCGATCCCTGGGTCGGGAGGGTCCCCTGGAGGAGGGCATGGCAACCGCCTCCAGTATTGCTTCCTGGAGAATCCCATCGACAGAGGAGCCTGGCGGGCTACAGTCCATGGGGTTGCACTGAGTTGGACAGGAATGACTGAAGTGATTTAGCACACATGCACAATCTGGATTGAACTCCTGCTGGGTGCTTAGTCTTTTATAAAATACTCAAACTTAGAAGGGAGAGGTTAAGAGCATGGGGATTTGGTTTCAGGAAGGCTCAGGGTCCAGGCCCCACTTAGAGGTTCTTACAAGTCTTTGAGTAAGTCTCCCTAGTGTTTAAGTCCCCAGAACCAAGCACAACTGCCTTCAGACCTCAGCCTGCCACTTAGCTCCTTGCCTTACCTCGAGCACAAGACTTCAACCCTTGGTGCCCCCAGCTTCCTCATCTGTGAAATGGGTATAAAAACATTTGAGGGTTTAGTGCACAGAGTGCTTGCCGTGTTGCCTGGCTGTGGGGGACACTCAAAAGCACCCCATCCATGAATACTATTCTCTTCTTCTAGTGACTCCCAGCCTTCAGCAGGTGTAAGTCACTGGCATCTTGACTTGTAAGGTCCCCCGTTATTCAGCTTCATCGGAGCGGAGTTGTGCATGCTCTTTGTTGCCTGGTTTCTTTGGCTCACGCTGCATGTTTGAGACTCGCCCCTGTGATTGTGGATATTGGTAGTGTGTGCGTTTCATGGCTGGGGAGTCCTCAGGTCTGTGAATGTCCCGGAGTCTGTGCTCCGGCCGTTGCCGATGGGCATCTGGGTAGTTTCTGGTCTGCGGTTATCCAGAAGGGCGGGCTGCTAGCCTCCCCTGTGTGTCTCTGGGACCCACGGGCAGCTCTTGCTCCAGTTTCAGTGGATCTTGCCGAGCAGCTCCTTAGGGCGCGCCAAGGATCCACTTCAATGTTTAATTTTTAAAAATTGAGGTGAAATTTACGTAACATAAAGTTCACTATTTTAAAGTGAACACTTTGTTGGCATTTAGTACATTCATAGTGTGATAGAACCACCACCTCTGTCTAGTCCAAAACAGTGTTTTCACCCTAAAATTAAACCCTGTACCCCTGATACAATCTGGAGATTAAACTCTGTGTTCTCCCTTCCTACCCAGCCCCTGGCAACAACTATCAGTCTGTTCTATATCTCTATGGATTTACCTATTCTTATTATTTCATATCAGCGGAATCATACAGTACATGGCCCGTGGTTTCTTGCTTATTTCACTCAGCATCGTACTTGGAGGTTTATCCATGTTGTAGCATGTGTCAACACTTTGTTCCTTTTAACGACTGAGTAATATTCCATTGAATGAATGTATGACATTCCATTTATCCTTTCATCAGTTAATAGTTTAACAACTTAACCTAAAGCTCCAGATCATATGTATTCTTAGAAAAACTCTTGCTGTGGGGGCAGGTTTAGTGCCAATAACAAAAATCACCCTCTCTCCCGCCCCTTCCCCAGATAACCATGGCCAATGGACCTGTGTCCTCAACACACACACGCGTCAGACACATGCACACATGGCCTGACGACACCGATGAGAGGCTGCTGGGCGTCTTGTCTGCAGCTGGCTTTGGTCCCCTCCCTTCACAGTCCTGGAAAGAAGGTGGCACTCTATATACTGTCGGCTGGGAAGCTGCTAGGTGGTGGCGTCACTCACGACCTGGAGCACTCTCCATGTCACCTGTGTTTGGGGACAAAGGGGTCTCTGCTGGGGAGGAGAGGGGTCCTCTCCTCTCTCCGCTCATGACTTTGAACGATGCCAACCCAGACTGAGCTACTCTGGGAACTTCAGCAAAGCATCACTCAACCCTCACTTCTTTCTATATAAACCACTCTATTCTTCTGTGATTCCGCAGGGCTACATCTCCTCGGTCTGTGACTTTTAAAATCATTTTCTCCCCCTTTTGGCCCGGCTGGCCCTCCCACCCCGGCTCACAAAGCTTTCTAAAATCCTTGAGAATAAGATGCAGACTGGAGAGGAGGGCAGGAGGGGAGGGGTCTGGGGGGGCTGGCCGCGGGCCGGGGCAGGCAAAATTCTTCAGGGGTTGGATTTCCTCCAGGTCGGCTTCCCGCGATGTCTCTCCACCTAAAGAAAACAAACTGAAATCCAGTCCAGGCGGCCACCTCCTGGGGTCCTTTCACCTGGTGGGCGATGGTGCGGACCGCTCCCTGGGAAGGCAGCTGAGGCCAGGAGCTGGGGCGGGGGAGGCGGTGTCCTGTGACCCCCACGGTGTCTCCAGACTCTCAGCTGGGGACTCAGTACAGGGTGCAGCCTGAGACGGGGGACAGGCCAGTCCATGGCATGCGACTCCTGCCCTTGCCCAGAACCTCGTGCTTTGTTTCAAGCTCTGCCGTTGCTATTGTGAAATTCTTTTTTTAAAAATTTATTTATTTCTTTGGCCGTGCCAGGCCTCAGTTGCAGCACGCGGAATCCTTCTTGTGACCCTTGGACTTGGTGCACGGGCTCATGGCGTGTGGGATCCTAGTTCTCCGACTGGGGATCGAACCAGTGTCCCTTGTGTTGCTAGATGACTTCTCAACCACTGGACTGCTGGGAAGTCCCCTGAAATTCTTAATACATTTTCAAACAAGGAGTGCCGCATTTGCATGCTGCCTTGGGCCCAGGAATCACACCACCTTCCCCCCCCACCCGCCCTCTACTGGGGCCTTTAGTCATAGTCTCAGCCAGGCCACCTTGGGCCTGGCACATTCCTTCTATGAGCCTCAGTTTTCCCAACTGCAAAATGGGAGAACCCAGTTGCAACTGGCTGTATGGAATGACTTTTGGGGGCATGACCATCCCTACCCCAACTCTGTTCTTTTGAACTCCTCAGACCCTGGGCCAGCAGCATCAGCTTCACCTGGGAACTTGTTAGAAGTGCAATTTCTTGGGTCCACTTAGACCTTCTGACTCAGACACCCTGAGTGCTGACCCTGCTGTCTGAGTTGTAACAAGCCTTCCCAGGGAGTACAGATGTTGACAGCCTCTGCTGAACCATGGGATCTCAGCCTGGGAACTGAAGTCTCCTCCTGCATCTGGATAACCACCTTGTGACCCCAAGCAATTCCCTTCCCATCTAGGTCTCAGCTTCCTCATCTGTAAAATGGGCAAGTGAGATCTGCCTTGCCAGTGGCCTTGTGGACAGTCAGTTTAAAGCATTCCAAGCACAGATCAGTTGTAAACCACTTTTAAGGAATAAGGAAATAAATGACTCTGACCCCTCTGGCTACCTGTGTGGGCTGTCTGCACTGACTTTGGTACCTGCAGGTCACCTCCCCCTGGGTATAGACTGGAAGCTTCTCTAGACAAGGATTTTGTTTGTTTTTGGCAACTGATAAATGATGAGGGAGGTATAGAGAAAGCTGGACTTTTGAGTCCTTTTTCTCTTCTTTAAAGAGAAATGCAATTGGGCACATTTGAAAACTTCTCTGAGCCTCAGTTTCCTCATCTGTAAAATGGGGAGAGTATTAACCTCCTTTCAGAGTTGTTGTGCAGAAACATGAAATAATATACAGGAAGGGAGGGCTCTGTGCAGGGGACTGGGGTGCAAGTGTGGATCAATAAGATATTCATATGATTACTATTACTAAAAGATGGATCATCAGTTCCTGCCTACCCTGTGTTAAAGGGACAGAGACCTAAGAGTTAGAATCCCCTTCCTCTTAGAGTCATCTGAGCAAGAGAGCATGAAAGTAGAGACACAAAGACACAAAGATGCACAAAGACACCCCCGCGGGCCGCCCCTGCCCACCCAAGGTCTCCCTCCATCCTTACAGAGGCCCCAAGGAAGGCCAGGCACCCACGATGCTACAGTCCCAGAAAGGGGCTGCAGTCACCCAGCCAGGAGGTACAGACCAATCTTAGCTGCTGTCAGCCTAACTCTTGCCAGATTCCCCCTGAGTGGGGGCGGAGGTGGGGGCTATGTGGATGGTTTGATGCCTGCCTTTCAAGGATACCTCCATTCTCAGAGTCAATGGAGGTTGCAAAGATGACCCCAGAGAGAGCTGGTCCTATAGCAGAGTGATGGAGCACAGTCCAGGGGTGGGGGGCTCCCCTGGCAGGTGGGGGCAGGGCCTGGGGAGGCTGAGAGTGTCCAGGAGGTCAGCTGGTGGCCCTGGTGCCTCCACTCTCAGTGGGAACAGGTTGCAGATGACAAAAATGGGGGGAGGGAAGGGGGGACGGGGAGGCAGAGTCCCGAGGACTTGAGGGGCAGGGGTGAAGGGTCTAGGGGCGGGAGACACAAAGGCGGCCCTGGGGGAGGGGAGGGCGGGAGGAGGGGCCTGGCTCCCCATGTGTTTTGAGTTCGGGGCTGGCTGCAGCTCTGAGCCCTGTTTGCTTTGGAAGGGCCTCCAGTTAACTCCTTCCTGCCCGGTGGGGCGCCCGAGGCTGGTTGGAGATGGAGGGGTTGGATGCTGAGAAGTGGTGGCCAGGCTTGGAGGCTCTGGCTCACTTTTCATACCCAGTGATCCTGGGGGTGTTGGGGTGATGGCAACAAGGGCCCCCACGAGGGCTGGGACTGGGCGCTTCCCTAAACTGTGTGCCCTGCACACCTCGCTGGTCTCACCCCGGTCCTGCTCTGGTCCACACACAAGCTCAAATCTCTGCCCATGCTGTGCACACTCACCTACATGTAGTCACACTCATTTTCTCTCCTGGTCTGCACCACACCCCCCATGGGATGGGGAAAC